AAAAAAAAAGACACGCTTTTTGGCAAGCACGAATAATTTTAAAAAACTCATGGTTCTGTTCATTGGCAACAAATTTTGTAAATTTTTACTTTATTTGAAAGTTTATTGCTTTATCTGAGTATACAACTTTTCTGCTGTATAAACACTTGTTGAAAAAGTAGATAAAGAAGTATAATGCACCTACCGCAAGTTACATGACGAAAGAACTTGAACGCAAAAATTTAAAACTTTTTCTTCAAAAACTTAATTTTTAAATTTTTTTAAAAAATGATTATTTATAAAAAGTTTTAGGTTGTATTGATCATTCTACTGACCATAAGATCGATAACGCTATTTTTACGGCATCATCGGTTAAAATAGGATTAATGAGTCTGAGCGACAAAACCTTTTGAGTTTAGGCACTATTTAGTGCCTAAAAAGCTCTTTAAGTGATACCGCACTAATTTCAATCAAAAAATATTTAAGTTTGGCTAGCTCAGTAACAGGTACTTTGGTCAAAATTTGTTCAGTAATAAGTAATTTTAAGATAATTTTTTAAAAAAACTTATTGTTATAACTAATTAGTTCTTCCATTTGTATCATTTTTCTTTTCCAAAAAACTATTTTTGCCTGAATATTTAGAACTGATTACTTTTTATCAAATATTCTTTCGCTATTTCATTTGCAGCATTGTATCAACTTGTCATTTTGCCGAAGACCTGTCATTAATAGCTCTGTAAGACACTGCATTGTATTTTATGTCGAAAAAAAATTATTCAATTTTCATTACTGCTAGAGCCTTTCTTGCCCTAGTAGCATCAGAGTTTCTCATTCAGGCTTTCTGAAGAGAAAATGCAAATTAAAAAAAATTATCCACTTTTTTGGCAAACATGCACACAGCAAAAAAATTCAATAAGCTTTCCAAATCTTATTCTTCATCTTACAGTGCACAAAGTCACAGTGGAATGGCATTTGTCAGCAACATCGCACAAAGAATTCCTTCACCGGCGCACGACGAACAGTACATAAACTTGAAGCGAAAGCTGGTTTGTAAAAGATAATTCAGGTTGAACCTTAACCGCCAACAATTTTTACAAATGAACACTGAAGTGCTTGACATATCATGTTTTTAGTTTATTAAGAGAACCACAAAAAAAAAGCTCTTTGAGCAGCGGCTTGAGATGTAACCATACCTAATGTAGATAAAAGTTTTATTGCAGTTACCACACACTGCCGGAAGAATGGCAGCACAGTATTATTCAGACAGTAGCCAACATCAGCTTTCGAGCGTTTGAAAGAAAAGAGCTTTGTCAGCAAGCAAAACGACATAAATCAAAAAAGTAACCACAAAAGTAACTCTTCTTAGAAAATCATTTATTCAAGTCACCCAACTGCAAAAAGCTTTCCACTTGATTTTGGCTATAAAACTTGCCAAAATAAAGCATTCTTTAATATAACAACATTTCAGGAGAAACAAAAATTTTGTCTTGCGCAATTTGTCAAAAATGCTGCCCGAATTAAAGGTCTTTCACAGCTTAGTTTCACGGTGGTAACGTAAATTTTGGCATTGTTAAAATAATTCCTCACAGTTTTGGTACATTGTACAAGAAATTATAAAACTTTTGTTATGAAAAATTTGAAAAGTAAATTTTCCAGAAAAAAAAAGAAATAATTTATACAATAGAAGACGCTTAAACAAAAACAACACTTAAACAATGTGAGAAAGTAACGCTTTTTGTAGATGAAAGTGAAAGAAAGGTGCGAAAATTGCAGCAAAGTGAAAAGCGTTTAGTGGCTCAAGCAACTGTGTCCCAGATCAGATTTAGTAAAGCAAACTGGTGTTGTTCTGGCCCTCCGGATGCGTAACTATAAACGTTGGAAGTAGAGACATTGGTTTTAAATTATGTGTGAGAAGCTCTTAATAGGAACTTTATCAGACCTCGCCAATATAAAAAACTTTACTTTTACATTTCAGTAAATAACATCTCCTATCATTTCTTCACTCTTCTCTATGTTTAAGACCTTGCTGGGTTTACAAGCACCATTAAATTTATAGAAACAACTGTGTGCAAATAATTTTTTTTTCCATTGCATAAAAGTATACTGTTTCTTCGACAAATGTGTTCTCTTTCATTAAAGCGTCTAATGCTATAATCAAATTCCACTACAGATTCATCTGTTGAGTTTTGCCATAAGCAGTCTTCAAAGTTGTAGAAATGTCCATCAAAACAGTCTACTTTTCCGCTAAAAGTTGCCAGAAAAATATTTAAAATGAAAAAATTTTGTTGAAAGTCTTATGAAGTACAATTTTCGAATGGTTTCCCAAGGGAAGTACTCAG